ATTTTCGACTTAAGACAATCTAAGAAGTTAAAATCAATCTAAGGTACTAGTTTATGCACGAAACAAAATTCACTGATGCTCATGCCAAGCGACGGTCCCGCTTATCGAACCTGACTGTGATAAGGCAATACATGAGACGGGACGGTTGTGTCGACCGTACTTGACAGCTTCAAGGCAATTCGAAGGACGGAACGGTTACGCTGATCTTGCCTGCAGAATGCGACAAGGCGATTCGAGAAACTGGAAAGTTTAATTGATTGCGCCTGACAGCGAAAAGACAATACGCGGGACGACAATCAGTCAGTTTGGCAAGAGGACGATGCGTAGCTCTCAGGAACCGTTTAGCGATATTTCTTTCTAATTCATTAGTCAGTTAAAACATTTCTAATCTTCCTGTCAGATGGCACTTCAAAAATCGAGACTGGATAAAATTCGCGATTAAACTAGGGAGAATGCAATAAAAATATGTATATATCAATAATCATCCATAACATATTATATCACTAAAATTGCACCTTAAATACTTAACAAATTAATAATTTATTACTATTAATTAATAATACCAATCGTAATTTATACAAAACATCTTCCGCGCAAAACTTTGGAGTGGCCCCCACCATATCACACCCTTCGCGCGTGCATAATTCGTGTAGAGTGCCTTACCTTGCGTGCACGTTGGTAGTATAGAAGTGAGCGTTCTAGTACGGTTTTGTTAAATGTGAAAATCACTCTCAGTTACACCAATCTTCCTGGTTAAGTGACTCTTATCCAATTGAAGCAAAGCCTGACATTTATCAAGTCGAAAGGTGAGTTTATACCCTTCTCAGTCCACTAACTACCCCACCTCATGTCAATGAGTGGGTTCATACCATACCTCATGTCAATGAGGTATACCATACCTCATGTCAATGAGTGGGTTCATACCCACTACCCCACCCTCGTATCCTACCGCAGGCCCAAGGGTGAGCTCGTACTCTCGTCAGCCCAATCACTACCTCACCCTCGTATCTTACTACCAGCTCCAATTCCTCCACTGAGAAGAGATTTTCCGATCCGTATTTGTTGCCTTGAGATATTTCTAGATATTGCTATGTTGACGTCTTGGTCCAGCGTTAATAGCGCGTCATACATATAAGGAATCGCGTCATACATACATTACATACCGCATAATACATAGCAGAGACGCTGCTATGATACGAAAGTTACAGGTATTTGATTAGGTAGTTAAAGTAGACTTGATTTTATTACAGATCAATCGGCAATGCCGTCCAATGCAATGCGAAACCAAATTTCTTACTATGTCCATCTCCTTTGCGTTTGCCCGATTATGATCATAAAATGGTCGTCATTCACGGCACCATAAGGATTGCGAAACCTTAAAATGCTCCTGATTTAAAACACCCATTGTTTCTCGAGTTAACACATCCGTTCCATTAGAAATGCCATTTCTATGACCTGCTAGATGTGAGTGTTATCCAACGTTTGAAATGGGTGGCTATTTACATGTTGATATCTTTTCTTTCAACTTGACATCTTTAGTTGATATAAATTCTGAGCTATCAGACATTCCACGAGCGCCTGTAGTTACGATATATAGAGAAGCTGTTTGTCTACTGAGAGTGTACGGTAGCATCATCGATTTCAACTGTTGTAGTGGCATCAACTCATCTCCTTACGTCAGGTGCGATAAAGATAAATTTGGGAGCTGTCATGCTGGGATGGAACAGCAGGTATTCAGGGTATAACGCAAGTAGTTGCTTGCCAGCCACGTCCGTGTGCAGTACATGAACTATTGATTCCTTTGAACAAATTCTCCAGCCTTTGCTGATCAGCTTGGCCTAATGTTTTGTCATGGCGAGTATTCAATCGTGATTTTTTGTGCTTCAGCAGAAACAATGTATTTGATGTGGTGTTAATCCTAATTTAAGGAAGCTTTTCACGACATATCCCGTTATGGTAGTATGATATTTAAAAATTGAGACGCGTGATCCTTCTTAGAAATTGAATGCCGTGCTCGAGGCAAAACTCGACATGTAATAATGTAGTACAGCAGTACAACGCAACTTGGTAACGACCGTGTGTGCTTGCGGCCTTGCTGTGAGGGAAGTGACCGATAAAGGACGTGATAAAAAATGACCTTGAGAGCTTCTTAAGTATGACGAACGACGACGTACTGCCCCACCTGCCCGTTGTTAAAGTTCGTCCTACTCGAGAACCTGGGATATGATTACGTAGATAATTATAGAATAGAATAGAAGTTTCGGCACTGAAGAAATAGGCCCATGGCCTGTTGCCGATTCTTGAATTTTTCGTGACTTGATTCACAAGGAATCCGGCCTTTGGAAGCCGATCTTTCCATAACTGAAGATTGATTGAGATAGCTGCTGGACTTATTGCCTGAACCGTAATTTGCTAGGCATTTAAAGACTGAACATATGCATCTGCATAGCTTCGTCTAGTCTGTTCTTGAAGGCGTTCATACTCGGAGCGTCAACGATGCTATCAGGGAGGCTGTTCCACATGTCGGTGACTCGAAACGAAAAGAAATGTTGTCGAATGAATGTGTTACAACGCAGTTTTTTTAGTTTATAGCCGTGGCCCCTGTTGCTGGTTCTTGTTTCAAATTCTAGTAATCCTTCTGGGACCTTGCATAAGCCATGGGTATACTTACATGCTTCAATGAGGTTCCCAATTATAAATCACGAACTCCTCTATTGTGCTCATGACGCAACAGATTGCATAAAAGACGGTCGCAGATAATCTGTCTTCAAAATATGTGACTGGAAGTACTTTACTTCAGTCATTCTGAATTTTATGGATATCTTGTTAATAATTTTTCTTCAAGCAGGTAGCTAAAATGTCTACTCATGAAGGATGGTTACGTCCGGCCGGATATCTAGAGCAGTCCCAGGCCAAGCTGTATGACGACCATAATGTTGTCATCAGCGGGATGCATGCCAGAGGCCAGCATTGCCCAAGACCAGCATATCTTTCATCCTCCTTTCCGTGCGTAAGCCTGCTAAAGGGCAGAGTAGACTAAGGGATTATATGTTAAAAGCCAATAGTACAAATCCCCTTCATGGAAATTAACCAGCGAGCTAATGAGAAGTAAGCCACCAATACAATCGCTCTACGCCGTATTGAAAACCGTCCAACAGCTTTATCCCATGCCGTCTAACCTAATCACGATTTTCGGTAAGCAACTCCCTACGCCATACCGCTGTTGATACACAGCCAGCACTCCAGCCCGTCCGTTCGTCGTAGCTGCTTTCCCCCGGCATAACTCTACCTCCACGCATACCCCGTCTCCCCGCCTTTTTTCACTGACTGCCGGACGGCTTTTCTTAGTTTCTGCTCACTTGACTGCATTACGCTATGAAAAGAGGATCTATAGGAGTTGTAAACTAACCTAACCTAACTTAACCTAACCTAATTCGGATAAGCATCAAAGGTCTGCGAGAAAAGCCTCCAGTTAGCAGTTAGTCATGCGATAATGGTGGAGAGTCGGGGTAAGTGTGAGGGGAAGAAGATGCTGGGGGATAGTAAGGCAGGGAAACAGTGACGCGGGGTTAACGTCTTGCGGAATAAGTAAGGTGATGACGCATTACCGTTTGGTACAGTTCACATTTGCAACAATGCAGTGTGGTCAGCGGACACTTAGGATAACAGCATGTGTAAGAAGTGATGGTATGGGTTATAAAGCATTGGAGAACAACGTATTGACCGTTAACTATGTGGAGTAGCAGCTTGTGTGCTGAAGCAGTGTTGGTTTAAAGTTCGTGTGGTGAGATAGGTCAATTGACTACGGCTGCTTAGGTGCCTGGATGACAATATCTATAGCATTTAGATGGTTGATGTTGGCTCCAGGGCTGATTTGAGCGTTAATTTGCTGGTCTACGGCTGCGCACCCTCATCAGCTACGTTCTTCGCCTAGCCACGTCTCGAGAGGTCCACGAATGCGATGTGAAGCAAGTCTTCACGCATCTGCTCAGGTGTGTGATGATAATGGAACAAGTGAGATGTCCATAAATTATCCCAATTTAATTTTATTTGTCAATTTAATGATAGATAAAGTCCTCATGATGATGTGAGAGATAAAGCTGTGGACTGAGGTATTTGATGCCTTCAACTGGGCACTGTCATCGAACGCTTGGTATCGCGTTCGCGGGTGGGTTAGATGTTAGTCCGATTTATCAATTTATTTTTTTTTTCAGTTTGCGCACATATATTGATTAATATAATTATAATACCCACGTTCATCACGGTTAATCAATTTATCAACAAGTTCACTTCTCTTCGTTGAAATGAAATATCAGACATACAGAGAAGGGTACTCTTTGAATAACTTTTTTATTTCATCCGGCGACTTTATACTGCACACACACGAATATAAATGTTCCTTTCATTCTTCTCTTTCTCCTAGCAAATCTGATTGTTCAGGCTGTGTGAACAAACTATATCCAAAAAGAATTATTTAGCTCACCTGATTTTTCTAAACTTGGAAGTTTTAAGTTCATTTTGAGAAGATTGTCCATGTGAAGAAGGCAGGTAAGAGTGAGCTTGCAGTCAAGAACTTGATATGCAAGCACGTTATGTCGGGTAAAAGATTCTATTAGATTTGAATCGCGCGATCGGATGTCAAAGGAAACAAGGTTAAACCGCATCCGGGCAGGAATACCATCCATATGTATGTAGAAGACCGCATCCATTTTTGAAATTATTCAGCGGAAAAACATGCAAGTTAATAATATTTCAGAAAAAAAGTTTAAATTTTCTGTCCTCTGGGAAAGAAAAAAAATTTATTCACCCTCATTCTTTTCCCTATGCGCAGGAAGACCATCAATTTAAGGATGTTGCCTGAAATGAGAGACGGCCAGCTCTGGATGCGAGAGTTGAAACATGAGGACCTCGATTTCCAGGTAGATACACTAGACCATAATTTATTCGAAATTTTTGAAATTTGAATTTTGAGAGAGTGCTATACTTTCTTCGAACGGAATGTAAGAATTAGGTTATTTTCACGGGGATTGGGCGTTGTAATCTACTCAGGTGTCATTGTATGATATTTGTTTGGACTCCATTTTCCAGACCCTCAACGATGCAGAAGTCAACGCTGTATACCACGACATGGCGAGCTACAGGTACAACATGAGCGTTGGGCCAGCGTGGGCCGTGCGTTTTCTTCCACTATCCCCAAAACACGATGAATATATCAAGCGGACGACCATGGAAAATACGGAGAAGAAACTCGAAAAACTGCCTCACGTTTGCCACATTGTAATTAGCTTCCATCACTGCATAACCGACGGCTTTACTTGCGTGCGCCTCATCCGACACATCTTGATGCTTTTGAATGATGTCATAGCAGGAAACCCCATAGATGATTCCGAGCAGTATGCTCGCATGATGGACATTAAGAAGCAACAATCGGTTTTAGAAGAATTTGAGCGCGCATTCGAGGCTGACCCAAAGCTATTGCAAGACCGAGCTGAGTCATTACTGCAGTCAACGCCTGATGCGCTGCTTAGAAAAGTGTATCCACACCCGTCTAAAAGACCGCCAAAAATGAAATGCATTCCCCGCATCCTTGACAGCAAAACTACGGCGGTTTTTGTCAGCCGTTGCAAGGAAGAAGGTATTACAGTTCACACTGGCTTCAGCTCAGTGATTGAAGCTAGCATCGTCAAAGTTTTACTGGACGCCAACTTTATCCAGGATACGTACACCATTGGAGGACTTCACTGTATCGACCAGCGATGCTACTTCAACGACGTTGACAATGCGTATGGTGATGGCCACGGTGTAATGGAAGTAGCCTCAGAAGTACCGAAGGATATTCTAGACAACTTTTGGAGCCACGCTAAGCAGTATCACGCCAAATTTAAGGACCTACAGGTCTGTAAAAACAGCATAGAAATTGAAGTGATTGAAAGAATGACGGGTCACGACCAGCTTATAGTCATTGATGCTCAGGGTATCGACTCCCTCCCAGAGAAGACTGCCCCATACCTAACCACGAACATGAGAGACGTCACCGAGACTTTGAGTAACTGTGGGGATAACGTCGATCTCCTTTACTACGACTGGATGTCGGCGACCCAGGAGTTGGGGATCGATTGGCTGAGCTCTATTCACACTTACAACGGACAACTCATGCACACCATGCAGTATAACACTCAACTCATGGACGAAGGACTTGCTGTAAGAGTTGTCGATTCAGTATTTGAAATATTGAGGAAGGTCGTTGAAGAGCCGAAACACAAATGAATATTGAAGCGTGCTAAGTTGGTGAATTTTTGAGAGATGCAAATTCATCTTATCTCTGATTTGACTAGCACTGACTATTTGAAAATTAATTAATTCGTTTTATTTAGTTTAGAATATCATCATCATCGAATTGGCTCGCAAACATCAATTTGTCGATGAACGAAATTTTTCTAATGTAATTGTTAATTTCTACTAATGGCGACCTAATTTCATATTAAAATTGAATAGAAGCGTAGTAGTTGGTTCATAGACTCACCTTTTCATTAGAGTATCCCTGAAAAATCGAACAATGAGTGATGGCGTTTTAAATTCCAACGACTCTTGCCATTTTAGTAGGGCCTTTAGTTACATGCCAGATCGAAGTCTTTACTTAGAATTTGTAATCTCTGAGGTTCCGAGGCTTATCACTAAGATGCTCTGTTATACTGGAGTTGGACAGAAACCGGGGGCTGTGATATTTTTGAAATGAAGTTTCTGACTCATTTTTGAATTTATATAAAAAACTAAAAGTCGTCATTATGTTTGTTTGTATTTATTTTAGTGCCTTGAATCTGATGAATTGAAATTCTTGATTGTCAGTCAAACAAACATTTTGGCATTTTATGGAATTGCGAAGCTCACTGTCCTCACGGTTGCTGTTGCCTATTCGAAAAATTAGAATCTAATTGTCGCTGAATAATTCAAGCTAGGAGGGAATTTATCTTCCGTCCTGCAATTCTATCCACCTAACGCCGACTTGACATAGATGAAGGGTCCAAAAAATAAGAATCCAAATTTACCATTTAATCTATCTTGCCAGCGTAAAAAACCTGCAAATATGGAATTGTATCACAACTATTGCATCAATTTTGTTGGTCTAAGAGCATTTAAATGGGCATGGTTAACAATTTATTGCTTTAAAAGTGATATTCGAAATATGTAAGAAATTTCCACATTCCTTTGGTTCTAAATTTATTTTTGTCCATACCTATTGTTGGATATGGATTTGTAAATAAGAAGAGTTGGCAGTAAGACTTAGAGGTGGGAACGTCTAATCAATGGTGCTCTGGAAGGAGAGTGCAAAGCCATCCTTTCCTAATTGCTATTTATTATTTTCGATGATCGCTCTTTGATTTTCGTTTTATTTATTTTCTTAAGTGCATGTTCACTATTCCTTAATTAGAAGAGGGCCGACTACAGATCAAATCTTGGGCATCGCCCTATGCACTATGCTGTGGCTAGGCCACTTTAACTTTGGAGCTTTGGCTCAGACAGTTTAGACTCCTGCGTCTCGAAATAATTTTCTCGAAATGAACCGGGACAGACGAAACGAGACGAGAAAATTCCGGGAAAAAAATAACGGGACAGGGGGTAAAATTTGTCCCGGAATAAACGTATGAACTGAGACAAGACTTCTGTCCCGGACTTTAAAACTTGTGTCCCGGTAAATTATGAACCGAGACGAGACCGACAGATTTGAAACGAGACAAGACGAAATTTGTCTTAATTATTTAAGACAAAACAAGTTTTTCGATTAAGATACGAATCATTTCGTAAATATGGGTCGAAGAATGACAAGTTAGCCCTTTATTGCAAATAGGGCCATAGACAGTTACCAGTTAAATTGAGTTAATTTCAGATTTAGCAAAATTTATCTGACTAACTGACATGACAGTTAATTAGTGGTCCGGCAAACACCGCAAACCTGTCGATGCATGCATGGCTGAGTATTGAGTCAAAAATGTTACTCTTAAGTCTTAACTAAGGCTTCGATGGCACTTATGGGGACCGTAAGAATATGAGTCGAGTTTATTACGCGTTCGGAACGAGTTCAGGCGCCGTGGAGCGCATAGGGAGTAGGGACGCAGGGTCTAGATTAGTCGGCCAATTAGTAGACAGTGGAGTGGAGTCCTGGTAAGATATTCCTAATAATACTAAAGCTAGTATTAGATTATCTTTGCCTTTAGTATAATTTTGTGGTACGCCTCCAGGAAATCTTCACAATTGCGCAGTTTCCTGAATTGTTATCAAACACTTGGGCTTGTTTAAAGTTATTTAGAAAGAATACACATGGATATTTCGAGCTCTTTTTTTGGAGATCAAACTATTATATTTTTTCCAACTTAAATTTTGTTGTATTTTAAAATGTTGTTGATATTTCTTTCCAAACTTTTTGTTGAAGGAGATTGCTCAAGTAGTAGTAGTATGATGGTTTACTAGCGCTTCAGCTATAGAGCTATTTCGGGCCGGAAGTCATAATATAACATCGCCAGCAAGGCAGAAGGCCTCAATTATTCAAAATCTCGAGTTAATCATCACCCACAAGCGGCGGAAGGTCTCAATTGTCCAGCCCGCTGAAGCTGGCTCGAAGGAAGCAGCGTTAGCATCTCAAAGAGACGAAGTAACAAGGAGGGACAGGTGAAAAGCAACAGAAACGAAGACACTCGAACAAGAGGTCGCTTACACGGGACGTCGGCCGCGCGCACGAGGGAGACAGAGAAGGGAGATGCAAGGAATCCTACCTACAAAATGGGGACCGGCTACCCTCCGGAAAAACTTCTAGTTATCACCCGATCATCATGAAACTTCACATACATATGTAAAATGTAAAAAATAACATTTTGCTCCTATGAATTTTTCGAAAAAATTGATAGAAAACGTGAAATTCATAGAAAACGGCTAAAAAGGGGGTACTTTAGAAAATCTATCTCCTCCTACAAATATCATCCTACAACATCGAGACACGTATCATTCAATTCATAAGGACCATGCCTATCGATTTGATGATCATTTTTCTCATTTTCTCCTTAATTTTTTTTATGCGCTTTTTATCCCATTTTTCTCATTTTTTTCTCATTTTCCCCCCATGGTCTTTACGAATCGAATGGTATATGTCTCATTGCTGTAGCATGAAAACTGTAGGAGGAGATAGGTTTGCCGTGAGAGCAGTAGGAGGTTTTCACCACGCCCAAAAAACTGGCGCGCGGCACGTAAAATGACGTAAAAGAGTCGTAACGTAGCCTAGATACCGTAACTAAGCCTCAAACCAAGTCAGGAAGGCATAGAGCAACTGGCTGCACACCTCTCACCTCGCTGTCATGATGGGCACTAATTGCTTTGGCGACAGCAGGCTGTATTTATAGTCCCGCCTTCGAATTACTCCCATAGGGATTACTGAAGGCCACCCAGTACCGCCCCCTGTTCCACGGTGCGTTGTGTATGTAAAAATGCACGTAGAAAAATGATTCTGGTACCGTTACACGCGTCAGAAAGTAAGCTTTAAGATGAGTATAAGCACCGGATAATGTCATAATTGGCCGCTTTACGTCAGACGTTTCTTTTTAGTGTGTCCAGCCTTCGAATTAATCTTATAGACTTAACTGAAGGGGCCTCAAAACCGCCCCCCTTTGGGGAGCTGTCACGAAATCATTTTTTGACGTAGAGAGATGATTCTGGTACCGTTCGATGCGTCAGAAAGTAAGCTTTAAGATGAGCACAAAAACCGGAAAACGCCAAAATTGAAAACTTTAGGGTAGCCGGTCCCCTTAACCCCACAACTGAGACCTGCAGTCAGACACCGCGAGCTCAGCGGTGGGGCGCTCAGGAACAATCCCTCTAGGAGCGCGAAATCCCATAGGACTTCTGACGAACACAGACACACGTTAGAAGTCCCCCCTGAGGGGGGGGGGATTGCTTAAGGCAAGATCGTTTAATCTGATTCTGTGATTGAGCTGGAGGCAAATCAAAGTCTGTCCAGTCAGCCGATGTCACCAGCTACAGCTAGTATGGCCTCCTCCAAACCATAATAAAACACAATTTTTGAAGAAAAAAAACGTGTTTTTCCATTTTTATTTGCCCGTCAAGATTAAGTACCATATTAAACCACAACATGTATTCGTAGCAAAAATTATTTCAATTGCCGAGCTCCAATCAGAATAGCAAAAGGATACGTCTCAAGTTATATAAATGCAGAGGTGGGCAGTAGCGCGCTACATGTAGCGGCCACTACATTTTCAGTTGCGGTAGCGGTAGCGGCGCTACATTTAAGCAATTGTAGCGGTGGCGGTAGCGTTAGCGCCCGCTACATATTTAAGTAGCGATACGAGGTTTTGCCGCTACAGCGCTACCGCTACATTTATAAATAAAGTCTTTAGATTTTACTTAATAGTATTAAATATTATTTAAAAAACCATCATGATACATACATAATATAAATTACAGAATAAATCTGTACGAAAGATTTCGGTTTAATGTTGTCAACCTCAGCCTGTTACTAATGTCAACATGTTAGTTGTTACTAGGGGTGGGCAGTATATAGCGCGCTACATGTAGCGGCCGCTACATTTTCGGTAGCGGTAGCGGCGCTACATTTAAGCAATTGTAGCGGTAGCGGTAGCGCCCGCTACATTTCAAAGTAGCGCTGCCCAGCTCTGTATAAATGTATGATGGTAAGGCAAAGTTTTCACCACATCAATAATTGATTCGTCTCATTATGTCTCGTTAAAATGGTTATAAATTCCGGGAAATTTTAGGGTACCTATTTTAACCGGGATGTCTCGTCTCGGTATCGTCCCGGAATTCCTACGGAGGGCTGAAAATTGTCCCGGTTTTTATTGCGAACCGGGACAGAGCCTGTTGTCTCGTCTCGTCTCGGATAAAAAAATTTACCAAACGCAGGAGTCTATATAAATTGCTCTTGTATGTTCCTAACCTTATTGTATGTTCCTAACCTTATGGAACATACAATTGTATGTTCCTAACCTTATGGAGAGGCTTAGTTCATTCCAGTAATTAACTAATTTATATTTGAGTCTACCCTTACTTCTACTTTCACGATTTCCCTTTATATGGCCTCTTTTATTTCCTCTTAAAATTGCTGTTTAACCGCTTGGTGGTACAAGATTTTCAGGTGAGTGCGAGACTGTTACATAACGGTTACAATACTGAAATAGTGAGACAAAACTTTAGGCACCTTCAGCTGTTACTTTTTTCCCATTATTCAACGGCTATTTCAATTTCATTTCCATAGAATTCCTGCATATCTGGAGCAACACTTCGTTCGATTTTTTGGGGCTTTCTGCGACTACAAATATGTAATTCTGAGATGCTCCTTATTGTAAAGGGTGTGTAAATTTGTTGTTTAATAAGATTAAATTCATTTTTAACAACCAAAAAGTTGAATATTTTTGTCATACCTTATTGTTCGTTTAAAACTTGTTTCTACCAATGTCTCTGTAATTTTTCGACAGTTATGTTGGACCGGGTTCCATCGTCCTTAAGGTCGGCAACCTCTATTATCACATCTACCAAGCTCTCATATCCTGAGCGCCCCACCGCTGAGCTCGCGGTGTCTGACTGCAGGTCTCAGTTGTAGGGTTAAGATATTATGTAGGCAGGATTACTTACATTTCCCTTCTCTGTCTCTCGTGCGGGCGGCCGACGTCCCGTGTAAGCGACCTCTTGTTCGAGTGTCTTCGTTTCTGTTACTTTTCACCTGTCCCTCCTTGTCACTTTGTCTCTTCGAGATGCTAACGCTGCTTCTTTCGAGCCAGCTTCAGCGGGCTGGACAATTAAGACCTTCCGCCCCTTGTGGGTGATGAATAATTGAGACCTTCCACCTCTATGGTGATGTTCATCTTGACTTTCGGTGCGAGATAGCTAAATAGCTGAAGCGCTAGTAAACATTTGGCCACCAATCTAAACTAACTAAACTCTTATTCTGGAACTTGGTCTCGTTCCTAATTTCTTTAGGCGCCGGCTTCCTCAAGCTTTGTACCGGTCGTGATTGCGATCGAGTCCAAACAAAAAGTTCAATTTGTTTCTTGTTTGTGCATCAAGTCTAACAAATGTAATACAGCATCAAATAAAGAGAAAATGAAAACTGTTTTTTCTCAATGCAAAATGAGCTTAAAAGATGAGCCATTCACAAACTAGTTTAATTCTAGCATTCACAAATTGTGCTTTGAATTAAATAATAAGAACGTTTGAATAAATTCCTGCACATTTGTTCCAAACATTAACCATAGCTTTCTCAAATGCAGGTATTAGCATATTACGAATAATGTCTAGTGTATGGAAAAGCAATTATATCGTAGACGTCGTCATTCATCGTCAAAATAAAGACGATGAATCAAGATTTAGGAAAGTTTAAATTTATATTTTATTTTTGCTAATGCTACGTGATCGTTGCTGCGTAGGCACATGAATAAATAGTTCAATCCTCCAAGGAAGAGAAGTGATGTTGCTGAAAACCTGGAGCGACATATAAACAGTCTAATTATTTTGAAGCGCAAATATTAATCAATTTATACC